AGGCTAATGCCCGAGGTCCCGAGGTCAACAGTACGGGGAGCTCTCGATCGCAGACGAATGGATCGGTGTTTCCACACCAGACTAGTTGCAAGATTGGAGCTTTGATGTCAAGTTCATGTGAACAGCAAAAAAACAATGACAGCGATTCTGTTATTACAACGATTCCACGATGGGATCAACAATGGCGTGGCATCTCCAACAAATGCCAAGCCATTGATAAGCCGTATCGCACGTGACCGTACTCTAACTGACCGCCTAGCGCATTGCCCCTCTTGTCGCAACATCCCTCTTTGGCATCTATTCACACTTGTCGTGATATTTCCAGCCTTTGAAACCACTACTCGGCACTCAACATGGCTGCTAAGGTTCCAAGAAACTTTCGACTCCTGGAGGAGCTCGAGAAGGGCGAGAAGGGTCTGAGTGCAGGTACGATCGACTCCTACGATCTCCGACAATGTCCGATCTTGGATCACTGACGTATGTGTGTTATTTCTAGATGCCTGCTCATACGGACTTGCTGATGGGGAGGATATGATGATGAGCAACTGGAATGGAACCATTCTCGGCCCGCCTCACGTTAGTTTCTGACTCTACTCCACGCCACTACGAAACTATTGCTAATCTGCTATCTTTCAGAGCGTTCATGAGAACCGGATATACAGTGTGAACATTCACTGCGGACCTGACTACCCCGATAACCCACCTACCATTCAATTCGTCTCTCGAGTGAACATTCCATGTGTTGATTCCAGCTCTGGCAAGGTATGAGGAGACTGGGTACAAAAACACAAAGCCTTTACTGAGTGATTACACTACAGGTCGATCCGACAAAGCTTCCAACCCTTGCGCAGTGGAAACGAGACAACACCATGGAGACAGTTTTAATTGAGTTGAGAAGGTGAGCACAAAGGATGGCACAAGATCGATGGTTGAGGTTGACATTTTATCCAGGTACATGGCCTTGCCCCAGCATAAGAAGCTGCCGCAGCCCCCGGAGGGCTCGACTTTCTAGTCCAGCATATGTGACCACTCGGTGCAGGCGGATCTCGGAGTATCAAGGTCGGCTTCATTTAAATTTCCTGGCTTCTTCTCTTTTTCTATGACCCTAGAGCGTGTACAGTCTCTGCATGAAAGCATTGGCAGGGGTTCTTTCGGGCCTCAACTTTCAATTTCCATCCCTACATTAGGTATTCATCTCTAAAGTGTTTTGTTTCGTGGAACTGGGCATTGCGGCAGGCGCCTGTTTACCAATAACAAAGTCAAATGATATTCTTTTATTGAGTGATGACGTAGAATGATTAACTTGGCCAATGATTGTATTTATAGACGTAAATTCTAACTGTCCAGCATGAAGCAACCAAAGGGTAGCGAGACATCACACCAAATGTAGGGACAGGGCAAGAGACCAAGGGGACCAACCCATGGGGTTGGGTCAAAGAGAGGTCAAACCTTGTAAAAGGGTACGAAAGCCATCCAGGGAAGCAATCAGTGAGAACAAGAGCATGCCAGAGGTAAATCACGGTAGGGGAGAAGGCGACCAGACACGCCCAGGGTAGAGATCGCGACGCGTCGATAGACGGCAACGGTAACAAACTGGGAGGATGCATCATGGTTGAGAAAGCTTCTTCTCCAAGCGCCCGAACAAGCCGAGCAATTGATGAAAAAGAGTTCGCATCGATCGGGTGTAGTGTAAGCCCAATGACACTGTGCAACGAGGCATGCGCAAGCACAGGGGCCAAGTTGCGGGTATTAAAAATTGGAATAATCAAAGTGTTTCCTGGACGGAAACTTTCAGAGATTAAACTGAAAAGAACAGATACTACACTTGATCTAAGCCAATAGGCAAAGAGAGCTGAAGAAGAAAGAAAAGAAGAGGAAGATCTGGGGGCGCGGGTGGGTATATATAGGTAAATTATTATTGATCACGTGGTTTAGGCAAACACGCTAACCGGGTTAGGATTCCTAGCGGATAAATATAATGCCGCATGATAATTGATAATTGATTTACAGTAGGCGGTAAACGGGCGGTGTCCGCTCCTGCAGGTGGAAACGAGATAAGATATATATGGTTGTTTGGCTTCATTATTGGTATAACTATTCAGCACGGCAAAATGCATAAAGTGCTGGTGCCGAAATATAACGGGGCTCATCGCTTTGCTTGTGAGAGATGACTCCCTTCGTTTCCAGTCCTTCCAGCTGACAATCTGTCTATGGTAGGTTTGGCACTTTATCGAGCACTTCTCCGACAATGCCGCCCTTCAGCTGCAGACACTCCGTGGCTGGGTGAAGCTGAACCCCTCATTCGATGGAATTTTCGGAAATATAAAAAATTACAAAGCCCATCACAAACAGCAAATGCCTTGAAGGCAGGCTATGAGGTATTTGCGTCGAATCTTCCTCTAGGCTGAGCTTATGTGTTGATATTTTGTCGCCGTATGACAGGCTCTAGATCTCCTCTCCTCGTCTCATACCAACCAGCATGATGCACACCAGATTACAACTCTCATCGCCCAAGCCAGATCACAGAAAGATAAATATGCTGCGATGCAAAGGAAAATTCGGCCAGTAGCGCCGCCTGCCAAACCACTTACGCCCAAGAAAGCCCGAAAAGAAGAGTCAATTCGCTTCCAGGAGGAAACAAATCAACGGCATCCGAACGCCACCTCGATCCTAAACAGACCCCGGCCCTTGGGTGACAAGAAGCGCAATGTCCCTGTACTTGTCAATGCACGCGGACTTCCGTTCCTGCGCTATAAAAAGCCGCAGCCGAGAAATGTTAGCAGTGTCATACGAACAAAACTTGGGCGCCGTTGGAACTGGATCGAACGTCGAGACAGGCTGAAAATAGAACTTCTTTTCGCTAAGGACGAAGAAGAATGGGATCGCGTCACCGAGACTAAGGAGCCATCAACTTGGTCTGAGCATCCCGCAAATGCCATTGTCGATGTCAACGCGAAAATCGCACACTTTGATATGCATGCCAAAGAGCTTGCAGATAATATGTGGAAGATCGTTCTAGCTGAAAAGGCTTTGGCGGAAGAAGAAGCTAGCCAGAAGCAGCCAAAGCAATGAAACCAAGTGGTCCGTCTTGCTGCGCAAACGTCGTTGCCATCACAAAGTACATTCCCCCGGCTCTTCGGGCAGACGGATGTGCCGTTATAGCTCAAGTCAATGTCTACCCACATTACAGTCACCGTCCATGGCCATGCCATTGTCAATGTCGCTTGAGATCAGAATACAAACGTCGGTTGCTCAAAGCATCCAAAAGGATTAGTACATTATTTGTCGCAACTTGGCCAAGTATGTCCATTCTTTCATATCCGATCAATGGGCACCATGGACTGCTAGCAATGTCAAAGTCACTGGACTCCAGCAAGCAGCTCCAACAAAGACAACGGCTCTGTTTCAGACCCCTTGCTGTCTAGTGATTGAGCATTATCTTTCCCTGTACCATAACCTAAGTCCATGTGGACTTTCAGATCTGTATATTACTCCTCCTACCTTTGATACCAAATCACTGATTTCTCAGTATAATCACACCAATTCCACAAGGTTATAATACATAATTTCATGAAGTAATGGCAGGTCATTAACATTTCTATGTATTAGCTCATGCAGCCACTTTGAGCTTCTCAACAGCCGGCAAGGAATCCTCGTCTTCCTCGTCATAATCACCCTTGGCCAAGCCCCTCTCCCACAATTGTCGGCCTGTGAGCTTTTTCTCCTCTTTCGTGGTCTTTTTCTTCTTGTCCTCTGATTCCTTTTCTTCACGTACCCGAAGCTCCTCATCCTCCATCTCCTTTTTAAACTTCGCATGCCACTCCAAGAAGGACTGGACAGTGACTGCTGTGCCGTGGAACTTTCGGTTCTCCTCCTCCTCTCTCTTCGCGGCGACTTGGTCCATCTCAGCTTGAATGGCGTCCGCTCGCTCGATCATAAGCTGCTCTGCGCTTTCCTTAAGTGCGCTGACCAGTGTGAATATCATCGGCATTCCCAGGTTCTCCTCGATGGTGGGCTGAAGAGACTCCATTAGTAGTCCCCGGTCTTCCTGGACATCTAGCCGAGGATGCTTCACTGCATTTGGTGGAGAGGAAATGCCGAGATTTGGGCCAACATCGGGGTATTCTTCCGGGTAGGCAACTTCCAAGCATATCACGGGTTGTTCTGATTCATCGCCGTCATATTCGAGGGCATCGAGAGTTATGGATACACGGTACGAGGTTTCGGATATGTCTAGGTGCCAGGTCTCACTGTGAGCAAGGATAGAAAGAAACTTTGACCCGTCTAGAGGACTTGTCTGGTACTTACCGGTAATTTCATCAGGGAAGATTGAATCGAGCACTTCACGCTCCTCAATCTGGTCTTCGCGACCCATAGCTGTTGATCCGCCCGCGGATTGGAGGGGTAACGATTTGAGCGCCGGAGGTGCAGATTCTTCGGGAAACACCTCGTGGGCGGATGAGAGTAGTTCTAGCAGGAAGGATTGAAATATTGTCTAAGCAAGACTTTGAGATGCCGTAGTATTAACCAACTCAGAAAAAAAGATCGGAGCGCAAACCAAGTCAACGCAACAAACGTCGGGACCAAGCCGGGTCACGTGAATCTATCAAGTTCGCCGTCATCCTCGCGATCCTCGCCGGCTTCCATTTGCTGTGACCTTGAGAACCCACTCACTAACATTCACAGAATGTACTCCCTAAGCTAGGTATAACATATGAAGAGTCACTGGATCTTACATATAACGTCCATCATCTTGGGTCAGATAAGTCAAATTATTCAAGTTCTACGTCGTGAAGGACAAAGACTGCATACTTATGTATGTGACAATAGTCCCATTCCTGGTGGCACTTCTATGTATGGCTGATGATTATTCAATTTAGCTATAACACAAAAATATTCTTAAAAAAAGACACGTCAAAGGACATCTCAAATAACATTAAAAGACATCTGGAAAAAGACATCTGGAAAAAGACGCCCAAAAGAACATCTTACATATAACTATGGTTCCAAGGTTGTCGGTGTGAGGCCTGCTCACGAATGTCCACGGGTCACTATTGCATTGCTCTCCTCCTTTCTCTCTTAAGAACTCTCGCATCGTAGTTACCATCACTTAAATGGGGTTTTTTCCCTCGCCAGGCGAGCATATCACCTTTGAGGAGCCCAAGCACAGCGAATCCTAATGGTCTATCATCGCCAAGCTCTCCCAGCAAACCCACCAGAACGACGAAATCGATGTTCAAGATGGGTTTGGACCCTCATACGCCATTGCTACATTTCGTGTCCGCAGCGACTTGGGCAACCAAGAGCCCTACATGCGTGTCTACCTGCGAGTTCCCCACCAGGGAACTGAATTCTTCCCATCTAACGAGCGAGCTAAGCAGGCTGCTGCTGGTTGTCACCGCGAGGTCGAAGCTATGAATGCCTTCCATGAACAAGGTTCGACTATTACGCCTGGTCTGTTTACGATCATTGAGGATATCCAGGATAAACACGGGATTATCCCGGGGGCTGCGTTATCCATTTTGTATTCCAACGTGTCCCTGTAGTTTGTCTCGCTGATGAAAATATTTCCCCCCATGGATACGGACCTACGCTTCATAAATTCTTTCTAGCGTTCAGCAAGCCCGAGCGAGATCATATCCGAATGGTGTTTGATAAGGAGTACCGCAAGCTGAATAAGCGGGGATGGGTGCCCACCTTTCCTTGGGCAATGAATTTGATCTCGGACTCAGATGTCTCGAGATTGTGAGCCTTCTTATCCGTGATTGTGGGCTTACAGCTGATTGAAGTAGGTACTTTGTTGACTTTAGAAACCCTCACAAGACAGCATCGGCGATGAGGATGTTGTTGATTATGGCGATGAGGAAAAGATGGTGGTTTGTAGGTGTGGTTTTTTTTCCTTGGTGTTATAGCTAGAAGGATGACAATCACTAGCCATAGAAGTGCACCTAAATTGTATATAATTCTCGCTCCACGACGATATACGAAGGCGGTCAAAAGCATAAACCGTGCAGACCAGGGAAACCAGTGACAATATTGCGGTCCCACATGCAAACCCGTCAAACAGCCGCTTCAAAATTTTGGAGGTTCACTTTTTTTTTAACTTCTTCCAGATACCCTGCGGGTTACAATTGTCAAACATCCTGCTTAGTATTCCAGTCGACGACATCACGAGATTTTATTGAATTTCACTGCATCCTGCCATGGGAAAGCCCAGACCGCAAAAGAAGAAGTCATCCAAGCCCCGCGAAAAGTCCGTACTCGGCCCTGGTGGCTCGATCTCGAAAGGCAACATGGCTCAAGATCCTTCGACGTTACTTGACCAAGCCACAATCCTCCTACAAACTGGTCGAGCCGATGAGGCACTCGTGGTTGCACAGCAGGCTCTGGATTTGACCGCTGAAAACACCACTGCACAGCTCCCCGCGATTAACCTGCTTGGAGAAATCAATGTCGAGCTAGGCGACATCGACACCGCTAGAAACTGCTTCCTTCAGGCCGTTCAACTTGATCAGAATGGCTCGATACCGGAATCCCAGGGAGGAGGAGCTGAGAAGTTCCTATGGCTTGCACAATTGAGTGAGCAAGGTGGAAAGGACAGTGTCCTGTGGTTCGAGATGGGTGTGGCGTCCCTCAGACAGACTATTCAGTCTCTTGAGGGGAAAACATCACCGGAGCACGTCGCCGATATTACACAAAAGAAGACCAAGATGTCTAACGCACTCTGCGCCGTTGCTGAAACCTACATGACCGATCTTTCGTGAGTTTCTCTATATTCTAGATTTTATGCGGCCCAACACTAACATATTCACTCAGCTGGGAAGAGGATGCCGAAGCTCGGTGCGAAGCACTTATTACGGAAGCCCTCCTTGTCACACCCGAAGCGCCAGAGGTACTACAGACCCTCGCCTCCATCCGGATTTCACAACTACGTACCGAAGATGCGCGAGCCGCGCTCACTCGCAGTATGAGCTTCTGGAAGGATCTGGCCCCAGAAGATCTCAAAATTCCCGATTTTGCGGTACGCATCAGTCTTGCGCGACTCCTGATGGAAGTGAATATGGAGTTCGAGGCTCTGGAAGTCCTCGAGCGCTTAATTCTAGAGGATGATCAAAGTGTAGAGGCCTGGTACCTCGGAGGCTGGTGTCTCTTCCTGCTGGCAGAAAAGCAACAGGCACCTAAGGATGCGACCGCTGATGAACTTGCCGAGTCCCCGCGACATGCATCACTAGATGCAAGTCGTGAATGGCTCAAGCAAAGCTTGAAGCTCTACGATGTCCTTCAGTATGAGGATGACCGGCTCCGCGATCATGCCTTGGAGCTTGTACAGGAAATGAACAAAGAAATTGGAGAGGATGAGGAGAGTGAAGCTGAAGGAGAGGGAGAAGGCGAGGATTCGGATGTCGAGATCGAAGTTGACTCTGATGATGAGATGGCGGATTCATAGATACCAAAAATGACGACCACATGAGATGATGTACATGTTCATTCATTTGTTTGATTTGATACCACTAGAAGTAGTTTCTTTCATTTTTTTTCCCAAGTCTCTCTTTCATCGTCGATGACCCCCTGAACCACAAACCGAAACTTCTTTGATATCGCCACCGCAATTCATTCATCGGTTCCGGATTAAGTTGCCTCCGGTGAAGCAGATGCCCGAATTTTTGCCAGCGCAGGTTTCAAGCGCGAGTGAAAACGAGTTTGTCTCCGTGGCTGGCATCTCAAACTCCTGCAAAATGGATTTGGTACCAGCCCCAAAAGGAGAGGCTTCAGTAAGGGCCACCGTGGTCGAAGTTGAGGCCGTGGATATGGAGGAACAGTACGATATGGAGGACGACGCGCCGGACCTTGCGCTTGAGATCTCGTCGGATTTGGAATCGGACAGCGATGATTCCGATGGATGGGATAATCTGTCTAACTGCGATGAGGCGATCCAGTTCCTCCGCGATGACCAGATCCGCGACGGGCTCGGTATGTAACTATATCCACCCTCACGTCTTACCCCAGACACCCCCGCTCTCGGGGATCAGAACGAACATTGGCTAACGTGCTCGCTTTTCCGTCGCAGTTCCTGGTGCCTGTACTCTAGAAGAGGCCACTGCATATCGAAAGCGTCTACATGCGATTGGTAAGGCGGCGTTCGTGGAAGAGACCATCCTCCGCGAAACCGTCACGGCCAAAAAGCTATGCACGGCATTTGGAATCGTGCCCCCGGCATTCCTCGATGGTGCGCCAGATGAGTCTTACCATTCTCTTCTGGCGGTCGCGATCTCGCGCGAGTTCTCCCGGAGGCCTAAGCTTCCCCAGTACAACTCCATCGACGATGCTGTTCGGCTCCTTCGCGAGTCCCGGAACGTGATCGTTCTGACGGGCGCAGGTGTATGTTCATATTGAAGTTTATCCAGAAGGTCCCTGATCCATAAGTGCTAACGGGTATTTTTTCAGATCTCGACAAGTCTGGGCATTCCCGATTTCCGTTCTAAAGATACCGGGCTCTATTCCAAACTAGCGCACCTAGGTCTGAGCGACCCGCAAGAAGTCTTTGATATCCATGTCTTTAGGGAGGATCCGAATATTTTCTTCTCCATTGCCAAGGATATTCTTCCGACGGAAAAGAAATGGTCGCCCACCCATGCATTCATTCGGCTTCTCCAAGACAAGGGGAAGTTGTTGACAAATTACACGCAGAATATCGATAACATTGAAGCAAATGCCGGAGTACTCCCGGAAAAGATTGTACAATGCCATGGATCCTTTGCGACGGCCACCTGCGTGAAGTGTGGGTTCAACGTTCCTGGCGACGCGATCTTCGATGAAATCAGGGCGGGAAATGTTCCCCACTGCACCGCCTGCAAAGAGAAAATCGCAGGAGAAGAACTAAAGCCGCAAGGTCTTAAGCGTAAGCGAAGTTCCAATGGTCAACAGAAAGACCGCAAGGTCTCCGACGACAGTTCGGATGAGGACGACTATGAAATCCCGACTCCTGGAGTGATGAAGGTCAGTGACCATTCGGTCCCTTGCTTGCTTTTTTCCATACTTACAAATCGTACAGCCTGATATCACATTCTTTGGCGAGGATCTACCTGACGAGTTTGGCGAACGTCTACTTCACCAAGATCGGGAACTAGCAGACCTTGTCATTGTGATCGGTACCTCGTTGAAGGTAGCCCCCGTGGCCGAAGTACCAGGGATCCTACCTCGCAACATCCCGCAAATCTACATCTCGCGCACTGTAAGTCATGTTCAAAACATTGGCATTGTACCGTACTGACCATGACATATAGCCGGTGTCACATACCGAGTTCGATATTGATCTCTTAGGTGACTGTGATGTGGTAGTATCAGAACTTTCTCGCCGGGCCGGTTGGGATTTACAACATCATATGATACCAGCCGACGAGAAGGTGGATATTACCTCGGTGGAGGGATATGAATCACGACATGTTTTCAAGGTAGTCGATGCATAGGGGCGGAGTTTAGTTTTGGGCATGTCTTGCTTCTGTCTTAAGGGAGGGCGTATCTTCGGGTTTCTGTTCATAGCTGGATGTGGTGATATATCTTCGGCAGTCTTGGTCTCTTGTTTTTTTCGTGCGATTATATCATACCTGGGTAGATCTAGGTTTCATCTATAGTTCAATCAATCGTTTTATTATCTCTTGGCACACAATCCTTATAATTAGATCATTATCATATTCCAATAGTGCAGTGCCTAACTTTCATTGAACATCGTATTTCGCAACTAAAATAGATTGTTTGTTGGCGATATATAAATCTATACTTGGCTGGACATAGTCCGTCTCCGTGGAGTATATTTCTGAAGGCCCGAAAAAAAAAAAAATCTCAACCCGCAACACCCCGCCTTCAAAGCAGCAACGAATTACATGAACTCCCACTGAAGAGATTAAGAAAAATCTAGACAGATATTCGTCTTGCTAGCCATGGATTATCTGGTTCGGTTTGCCCAACTCCATGAGACCTTCCGACGGCCGGAACTCGAAGCCTGTGCCACACTCGCGGGTGTTAGCATCGAAATCATCGCCTACAATGAATATGTATGATATACCTTTTCCATCTATACTCGAAGCGTCCAAATTATTCCATGACCCTTTATCTACGACGATGGCACCCCTCCTCTCTTCCTTGCATGATCATCCCCAATTTGCAGAAACTTGACTGATATACCCCAGTCACCATACTGTGTCGTAAGACTACCAAATGAAGCTGCGGCACGGGCAGTTGCCAAGCGAAGTATCCTGGTCAAGGATATCTTCGAGCTATGGGGTGAAGGCACCAATTATGAAGAGCTACATGCAGATGTCCGTCGACGAACCCATGGTCGTTGGAACGACTACATCGCTGTCCCGTTCAAATTCACGATTGACTACTTCGCAGGAACGCGCAACACAGTTCAGAAGGGAGAAATCATTCGATCCTTTTCATATATGGGGTTCAAAGGCCCAATCCGGCTATCAAACCCCGATGAGGAGTTTTTCGTGATGGAAGAGTACGTCGACGATGTTGAAGTCTCTATACTGGGCACGACGCGCACAGGAGATCCGCGGAAGATTTACCTTAGTCGCAAGATTGCCGATAGCTGTCGCGAAGCCGTGCTTAAATACGACCTCAAGAAGCGTCGTTATATTAGCACGACTTCCATGGATGCGGAGTTGAGTCTTATTACGGCGAATATGGCTCTTGCAGCACCGGGGAAATTGTTCTTCGATCCGTTTGTCGGAACTGGAAGTTTCATAGTTGCTGCTTCGCATTTCGGGGCTCTGACTCTGGGTGCAGACATTGATGGCCGTAGCTTCCGTGGCAAAGAGAGCGGAAAATTGGGCATATACGAGAATTTTGACCAATATGGGATCAAGAGCAAATTCTTGGATACGTTCACTTCCGATCTTACCAACACGCCACTGCAGAGAACCGCCGTTCTTGATGGCATTGTCTGCGATCCGCCATACGGTGTGCGTGAAGGACTTCGGGTTCTGGGAAATCGTAGGGGAAAACCTGCGGTCAATGTGATCATTGATGGTATTCCTGCTTATCTGTATGTCTTTTTTTTTTTGCTTCCACTGGCTCTGCCGACCTACAATGCTAACTTGGACCTATAGTCGACCTGGTTTCATTCCTCCCAAAAAGCCTTATGGCTTCGAGGCTCTGCAAAACGATGTTCTCAACTTCGCAGTTCGCTCCTTGGTCCCCAATGGCCGTTTGTCAATGTGGATGCCCACAACAAATGATGAGAAAACCGAGTTCCCTGTTCCCATGCATGAGAATCTCGAGATTATCAGTATCTCTGTTCAGAATTTCAACACTTGTAAGTGACAGGTCTTCTGATATAAGCATGATATTGAAATAGATTGGCTGATTTTGTGCCTTATAGGGGCTCGCCGACTTATAACCTACCGCCGTCTACCCGAGGGAGAATTGTCGGATATCTCACTGGCCCGGAAAAATATTGACGACCAAGGTACTAGTGCAGATGCTCTCAATGCATTCCGACGAGTGGTAAGTATTATCTGTGGGTTGATGGCTCAGTACCTGGCTAATTTGTTGGACCAGCATATGCTCCCAGGCCACGGCACTAGGGTCGGGAAGGACCAAAAAACGGCCGAATAAGGACTCCGATATCAGAAATTCGATAGGAAGCTACCTAGCCTACCCAGCTCAGAGGCTTGCAAAATCGGGTAGTATAAATATCTATATGCAGTGAATGACCCGAAGATGGGTCCAATGATCAGATGCAAGAACAGAGATAATACTAGATACAGCGTACTTTACAGCTTCCCTCGCTGGCTTCCTTCTGAAACCAAGTCTGCAGCCAAGTCCACACCCTCGTCCCTCAAAATTCGTTCGACTTCCTCGGCCAGCTCAATTCTCAACTCACGAGCCAAGACCTCAGCCTCATCATCGTCGAGCTCCTCTCTCTGTCCACGACCGAACATAGCAAAGCTTGTTCTCTGATTGGCCCCTTGAGCAGGGCGCGGGATGATATGGAAATGGACGTGGGGTACTACCTGTGCTGCTCTTTCGCCTGTAACCCAGTTAGATGATTGTTGTTTTTTTTTTCTTCTTCCATAGACATGCGATCGTAAAATGCCGCTTTGGTTGAGTGACAGATAAAACAAGATATCGGTCAGGGGTGTTCAACCTCCTTGAATACCAATATTGATACACCAAATACATAACATTATACGACAAGGAAACACTCCGTATTCAAATGCGATAAAAACCAAGGGTTTCCGGAAATGGAGAAAAGCAAGGGCAAGACATACCATTGTTCTGCACAACATTCCAATGTCTATCGGGATCATCGCCAAACACCGTCTTCGTTACAACCCTGGAGAGAATGGGTAGCCATTTCCCTATCTATGCATCAAATCGAAGAAAAGGATCAGCCGAAGAAGCATTTTTCGAATAGATATAGATGAACTGATAGGAAATAACTACGTACCTCCTGTCCTGCTTGAACACCCATGTCACCTAGCAACTTGTAATGATTTCTTGGCGCTACAAGCACATGGCCGCGGGTAAGCGGCATAATATCCAAAAAGGCCAGAACATGCTCGGTGGAGAGGATGATGTGGGACAAGGGACCTAAATCCGGGGCAGTAGAGACTGGATTGGACTCAGAGTCGTTGAACGGGGTTGGGGGATATGATGAGGCAATATTGCAGAACGGGCATGGAGGGGGTGCAGTGGAATCCATGACAGGATAAAATAATGTATTTATCAGTCCGAATGTGGGGGTTGTGAACCTGTGTTGTATCAGCGGCAGATGGATAGAACTACGTAGTAAAGATGGAGGTCGATCCCAAAGTGATTCAGCGGCTCACAGAGCCCCGGGACCAACCCTGGAAAGACCTCGGGACCAACCTCGGCTAAGCACGCCCAGGCGAGCTTAATTAGACGGATCTACAAGCAACCCCAGATATACCCAAGAAAGAATAGAAAAAAGAATTAAAAAAGAAATGGGTTCAATAAGCACGCCATACACACGGATCCAGTGTTAGAAATCCAACTATTTTGAATAAAACAAAAGCAGTCCAACTTGTCACTGATTACCACCTCGACCGTCCATCCGATATCAATCTTGCACGCTTGGAAGACTCAACTTCAGTAACCAATCTAATCTTCCAGCCGATGAACTGAGAAACACCCGAGAAACAAAAACAAAACCATAGCCACCGTGGCCCCACCAAAGATTTCCAATCCGCAATGCCACGCAAACGTGCAAGCCTTCGGAACTTGCATGATAAACAAAAAAAAAGTGATCCAAAGGGGATAGCACTGTATCGTCCAACCTAAGATAGAGGCGATTCAGGGTGAAGCAAGGTAAAATTGCGATTTGAAGGAAGAGAAAAATAGATCCCGACGCCTGTAACACGGCGAGAATGTAAGAGATATCAAGGCAGGCGGGAGACAGATGCTCATGCACGGAAAACAAGCAAGCCGAGGTTGAAGATGTAGGGGTAAAAGAAGAAAACAATAGCACACAGGGCCGAGCGCCGAACACCCCATCACAGAAGACAAATGCGGAAAGCGCAGAAATTCAATCAAGTCGTCGTAAGAATATGCAAAAGGTAGTGTAGTGAATACCAGCACAATGAAATGCCAAGATATGTAGGAATTCGATTTCCCTGCTCAAGTCGTCGCAAGGGCCTTAGGGAGTCATGAAAGGCATCGACGTTGGCGAGACAGGAGTAGCATGACATCGTAAATGGTACAATTACTGTTCATCCTTGGCGTAACTGCTCTGCTCGGAGCTGTCGACGTACAGGTGGTGATACTTCTTGGCCCATTGGCGAGTCAAGATAGAAGCTAGAAGACCGGTCAGCATGCCGTCTCGCGAGACAAGGGAATTATCAATGTAGCTTACCCTTCAGGAACTTCTTGCTGGCGTATTTCTTGAAGAAGGCTTCATGGGAGACAGGGCGGTGGAGATAATCAACCATCAACTGGAAGACGGGATCGATCTCCTCTTCGGTGTATCCAGAGTAGTGAGCGAGGGTGGCATCCTATTATAAGTTAGTTGAGATGTGCGTAACAGGCGAAATGCAACATAACCTACCCAAGGTCCACGTTCGAGGATGAGACGTGCAAGGTACATGGCTGCAGCAGAGATGTGGCTCTGGGGGAAGCCCATGAAACGGTGATCGAGAAGACTGATCTCCATCAAGTATTTGCCCAGAGTGCGTGTTTGGATATCATAGTTATCGGCCTTGGAGATGCGTCGCAGGAAGTTCATGGGGTTGGGGAAGCTCATGTTGTACTCGAGGGTTGCGAGGACGTGACGTTCGGCATCGAGAATCTCCTTATCTGAGAAGGTCTCATCGGCGACATGGCTGAAGTTGGCGACGTGAGGGGAGAGCACCTCCTCATACTTAGAGGCGATGAACATGGCGGTAACACCAACAAGCTGAAGACGATCAAGGGCGACAACCTCAGCGGACAGGAAGCGATCGATGATGTTGACAGCAAGGAACAGGGTCTCGGGGAGGAGGCGGAAACGGGTGTGCACTTCGATTAGCCAGTCGACAAGGATCCCACGCATCTTCCATTCAAGGTCGGGCTGATGGTCGATGTAATCAGGGTTGGGCAGGGTGATGATCTCGAGGTCCTTGAGATACTCGAAGATTTCAACCACGTATTCGGCGGCCATTAATGGGTCATCCAAGTCCTCAGTGTCCAGGTCCTGCACAGCGTCATTCAGAGCATCCTTCACACTAATCTCCGCCTCTTTCACTGCCGGCTCTTCCACGATCTTCTCGATAGTTCGGGTCTTTCGCTCAAGCTCGGGCTTCTTGCGGGGAGGCTCCTCCGCTTGGAGGGCTGTATCCTTAAGCGATGGACGCTTGTGGGCGTTGGCAGCAGGTTTCTTGTTCGAGTCACGGGGTTGAAGGGCAGGTCGTGTGGCTGTTCGTGAGGAGTTGGTACGGCTGAGCTTTTGAACACCTCCAGTCTGGACGGTTGCCTTTGAGGTCAAACCAGCCTTGGCGGCGACCGGTTTCTTCCCAGCTTTCATCTCAGCACCATCCGTCTTGTTGACATTACTGACATCGCCGAGGGCAGCACGGGGACGTTGGGATCCATTAGACGCGGTAGTCGACGTGGTTCGCTTGGTCTGCAGGGTTTTCTTAGCTCCAGCGGCGGAGGCATCAGTGCTGAGAGCGGCTGTCTTGGCCCGCGTCACACGCGCTGACGGACCGTTCTCATCATTCTCATTCATCGTGCCTCTGGTACGAAGGCTTCGGGCCTACAGTGGAGTCAGTAATCTGTGTAGTGAGGTCATGGGATACACTCGGATCTCAATGCAATGGATTAGATATCCCGCAACCAGGATATTAAACGCGTGTTTTTGGCAAGGCTAAAGATTGCTTACCTGCGGCATCGTGAAGAAATAAAAGGAAAGCGACGCGTAGGAAGGGAAGAAAGGGGAAAGGAATATAATGATCCCCTGCTCGGGAAATCAGGTCAGCATTCCATTTGATATTACCTCGGTGGGGACCTCATACCAGAGGGTTAAGGATGAGGTGCACGTACCACGCGTGAAAATGCGGTTGTTCTGAACAAACTACAATGCCAGTAGGCAGAGGTAGCTTTCAGACAGGTGGAGATGATATGAGTCGATAATTACGGCCCAAAGATGACTATGTTGATGTGTATCAAGACCGCGCAGAACCCTGGTTCTGAAGATCAAATGGCGCGCGAATCAGGGGAAAGATGTCAAATGATACAGAAATGATCCGGGGACACTGTACAACAGGAATCCGCACGCGATAATTTGCTAGTTGGGGAGTGGGGGGAGAGATGGAAGGGCAGCTTTAACTGGAATGATGAGGGAAAAGGAAGAGAGCTTGAGGGCAAAAGGCGATGTTTGGCCCTAGTACTGTGCTTAGCGTGGAAAACAAGTAGCCCCACTCAGCCAGTCGCGTGGATCACCAAATTGACCGTCGAGCCCTTTTTTTGGTTAAATTTCTAGAATGAAGAATTGAACTGAGCAATGAAGAACGGAATAGAATCAAGAAAAAGATGTGTTCAGATAGGTGAAGAAAAGTAGATCCAGCAATGAAGGGAGATACGCGTGAGTATGGCAATGGGTAAATAAACTGGTTGCTCGGACAACGAGGGTGTTTCGGTTTCGTATAGTATCGGATCTCCTGTAACAAAGAAGTCACGTGTAAATCTGACACAAGGCGGTCAAATTAGATCCATGGATGCACTCCCGTGACCATACATCAGCCACATTATATTAAATATGGCGGTGCATGAGGCTGTGCATGAAATAGTCACGTGGCCAGCGAACTTTTTGTTTCTGGAGAGTCAGGTGCATATCTACAAAGCAGAGGAGAGGAGCTGTTGAGTCTTTGTTGGTCTGCTCCACTGATATTTGCCTTTCATCGATTGTAATTTTATTCAATTGATTCATCCAAAACCCGTCTTTCCCCTCCATCCCCCCCATTCTTTGGCAGCAATGCTCCAACCCCGAATTGCCCTACGGGGCATTCGGCTGCCCTTCAGGTGTCTACCCTCTCTGCCTTCGCCAGTTCGTTGCTATTCGACAATTGTGAATGAAATTGAGAAGAACAAGCCCAAGTCTATTGAAACACCAGTCAACA